GGAGGGCTCCTGTTTCCCCGTTAAGCCCACGGAGGGCTCCTGAGTCCCCGGCTCCACCATGGCAACCTGAGCCCCTGTTCCGCCATGGCCTCCCGAGTCCCCGGCTCCGCCATGGCAACCTGAGCCCCCTGTTCCGCCATGGCCTCCTGAGCCCCTTGATCCGCCATGGCAACCTGAGTCCCCTGTTCCGCCATGGCCTCCTGAGCCCCTTGCTCCGCCATGGCAACCTGAGTCCCCTGTTCCGCCATGGCCTCCTGAGCCCCTTGCTCCGCCATGGCAACCTGAGTCCCCTGTTCCGCCATGGCCTCCCGAGTCCCCGGCTCCGCCATGGCAACCTGAGTCCCCTGTTCCGCCATGGCCTCCCGAGTCCCCTGATCCGCCATGGCAACCTGAGTCCCCTGTTCCGCCATGGCCTCCCGAATCTCCGCCTCAGGCTCCTCCACCACCTGCTCCGCTGCCGTTGGACGATCCTCCTCCTAGTCCCCCTCCGCCCCTCCCTCTGTTTCTACGGTGCGAGGACGCACCTTCCGGGAGGGGGGAATACTGTAACGCCCCTGTGGACTGTTTGTTGTGGTTTCTTCCCTTTGTGTTGGTTTAGCCCGTCTAATCATTAGTTAATCACCGTCATTGTGCTCACCTGTCTGCCTCTAATTATTCACCCCATATTAGTTCCTGTCTGTCTGAGCATTGGTGTCGGTTATTGTTAATGTTACCCCGAGTGTGTGTCTCACCTACCTGAACCTGCCTTGTTGTGTCTACAATAAATGTCATTATTGGAATCCTTGTCGTCCTCATCGTCCTGCCTGCCTCCACACACCCGATTCCGTGACAACTTGATTATAATTTCAACTGTATTTTGTTATTTAATATTACATTTAAATTTAATATACTTTAAATGGAACTTCAACCCATCATTACAAATATATTTATAAACATGACATTCAAGTTTCAATAAAAATTACATTTATGTATATTTTAGTTTATCATAAATGCTTGTCAGTGCATTCAGTTAGTACATATTTCAAAGACAATAGAAGAAATTAT